AGCATGGCAAGAAACCTAGAGGACGCAGTGTCTCATTCCCTACTCAGGGAACCATGGTTACATAAATAATCTGAGACGTTCCCTCTCATGGGAACTTCGAACTGCGCCCTCTAGGGGTCGCTATGGGGAATGGTATATCCATGCCACCATGCTGAGGGGAGTTCATGCCAGAAACCATGGTGAGCACTACGTACCAACTCTACCATATTGCCATGGGAGTTGCCCCTGGGACGTTAGACGGCTGTCAGTGACATTATTCCCTACGGCCAAAGGCCTAGGCTACATACCCCAAAAAACTTACCTGTTAGGGCCAAAACTCCTGGGCCCAGGGAAGAGCTCAAGGCTTGGAATCAGGAATAGATTACTTTAAGGGAATACGGCCAAGAGCTTAGAATCATACTAAGTCTTGGCCTGTCACACAGGAGCTACTCCATGCTCTGCATATGTTAAAGGAACTGTCTCAACAGACCCCTAGTAGCAACACCCTGTTAAAGTAGGTATCCAGAGGATACATAGGTGGAGTGGTGCCCAAGGCGGAACCAGGGTTTTAAACCACTCAGAAAGAGCATGAGGCTGCTGCGTGTAGCTCTTACCATACAGGATTTCAGAAAAGAACGCAGAGTACTAGTGTGCGAACTTACCACAGTGTGGATTTTAGAAAGTGTACAAAGACTTCACGTGCACACTTACCATAGCATGGATTTTAAAAAATACCGTTCTAAGGGGTTCTCGTGGCACTCTGAAAGAGCAGCCCATAGATGGAATTAGTGCATCCCAAAACGCTATGTTTGAGAAGTCATCAACTCGGCACACTTACCCGACCTACAGCGCGATTGTTAGAATCAGAAGGGTAAGTGTACTGCAAGCTAGCCAAAAATCTCAGCGCATCAGAGAGGCAGAGGAAGGACCTAGTTCGCCTGATGCTGCTGGTTCCAGGTGCTCTGGGAAAAACGGAGAACTCAGCTCTCACGTGAGAGGAGAACTCCAAATTCAGAAGGAGTAGCGTGCTCATAGGTAACCCTTTGATAATAGGGGAGCACTGGTCAGCACTACCACGAGAACAGCCCATGGAGCGAGGAATCCAACTCCTCAGAGAGAATTAAACGCTCGAAAGAAAACACCATGCTCACAATAACTCTCAATGGTGAGGGGAGCGATGCTTCCAGAGTGTGTCAACAGAGACACACTAGTTGAGTGGAGCCCAAGGTACCGGGGTCTAAACCAACTCAGAGAAAGGGAACGAGGCTCATAACGCATAACCCTTACCATACAGGATCTCAGAAAAGTGGGCAAAGCATAACATGCACACTTACCACCTATGTAGATTTTTAGAAAGTGCGCAAAGCTTAACGTGTGCACTTACCATATTATGCATTTAAGGGTTTTCCAAGCATCTGCTCACAGATACCCGGAAGTACTGAGCCAAACGGGAGAGGCAAGCTCAAATACAACCCTCTAAGGTGAGGGGAGCACTGCCTGAGACAGCATTACACAAGAAGGTTCTCGCAAATGCCACCTATACTTCCCGCTCGATGCCTCAGCAAGAGGGGATATCCTGGTGATCAGGAGGCCCCTCAGGGCGACCTACATACAGTAAACCAGACAGGGCAGCCTGAAAGCATAAGCCCAGCCCGGACGTCCGGGAAATTTTTGCAGTGCTGTGCCGGGGGCCTAATGATCAAAAAGGCTCCCGCAGAAGTCTGTGACCTGGCTGCATAATCCAGGAAGTATGAAGCTGAAACCCGGATTATCGTACCGTCTGGACATATATCGAGTCGAGCACCCGGTTTCAGAACCCAGCAGAGGGGGTGCTCATCGAAGACCTACCCTAGAAAAAAGACCGAAACACACAGGTCCCGGGAAACACTGCAAAGAAAGCTAGCAGAAGGATTATACACACAACCAACAGCGCATTAAATACACAC